CTTGTATGCCATCCATACATCAGCCATTCAGCTAACACAAAAGCTTTAAAATCTACTTTTACGGATGATACTACTTTAGTTAGCCGTAAAAAATGCTCTATTAGACCATCCAAAGGAATACGTGAACCTCATTGAAGGTATGGCTTATTGGCGTATAGAAGTCAATGAGCAAAAGTGGAAACATGTTACACTTGCACTAAGGCCGCAATTCCTCAATCTAACGAAGATTAATATCTTGGTATTTGGTGAAAACATTTAACAACTAAGTTAATGCAAATGAAACTAAACTCAGTTAACTTACATTGGCTTCTATACAAAAAATCGGCATTGTGCTTAGACTATAAAGTACTGTTGAACAATGCAGTTTTAAACCAATGCGGATGTATGGTATTGAACTGTGAGGGTACGACCACTCGAACGAAACGCTCGGGTCGAGAACGCGAAAGGCATTAACAGAAGAGCCATGGTGTGTTTGCAACAACCCTATACACAAAGAAATACCCGCGGTCAAAGTCAAATAGAAAGCAGAGTGAAATACATAAGAAAAATACGATATCATCCCACGATGTAGCGAACAGAAGGTGACACATTCCGCAAACTGCTACTTTGGTTTTGCCGAGCTTTACAGTTCTGGATTTATAGTAAACAATGCCCCAAAAGCTTTAAATCCACTGAAATCCACTATATTTTCACTAAAATCACATCATAGTTCGTTTGAAAATAGTTAGCTTGACGGCATTTAAGACAGAATTATGCAACTACAGATTACTTCCCTTCCGGGCCAATGCAGTTTCCTGGAATATTTCTGTGCCTGGGAATCCTAGAATTATTACCTTCGAATGGGATTTGTTGCACTGTAGCTTTTAAATGTAAAGTGCTGAACACATTGAAAGCTACGGTCAACAGCTTCCAATTTTTTATCTTCATTATCTAAACGCTTTGTCGATGGCGTCATGATACTTTCGAATGCGGCAGCGACATCATGAATTTGGATGAGTTTGACATAAAAGAAGAGATTTATTCCGGCCACAACCACAGTTGTCGCGTAGCCCTGTCGTCGCCAAAATAATGTTCTACATAAGAATACGTGAAAAAATAAGTTGACAGTGTTCGGGCTATAAGCCTACCGAGAAGACTGTGATTGAGTATTCTATTACAAGAAGCCTTCCATTTACGCAGTTGTATGCTTAAAAGTAATTCTGAATGAATTTTGCTTTGTAGAAGCTTTGTAGGGATTGTAGAGAAAGGCCCCTTTACAATACTATGACTCCCAAGAAATAATGAGCCTTTACGTTAGCTGATTCACTATATGTCGCTACAGCCCCTTTTTTAATATTAAGCTTCCGGTAAAGGTATACATAACGAAAATTTGTACTGTAATTTTATTTCTAAATTTTTTTCACCGTTTGTGGTTTATAACCACTTCTTGCAGAAACACACTTTTTTCTGGTGCATTTTCCCTGTTGCGAATTTCATGCGTTAGTCACTTAAGTGTCTTGTACGGCCACGTTAACAAGTCTTCAATGACTTTAGGCTTCGTTTATATGGAAGTCGTTCATGGCTTTTTCATACAAATGGTAATTTAGTCGTTGATGGCCTCTGCATGATTTAAAAGTATTTGATAGGAGTGCTCCGGCATGACATTGTCACCAGTGTCGTTGTCAGCTATAAATATGTCGTTCAGGATTCGCAGGATGTGCGACGATGTCACTAAATCCTCATTAGTGGCGATGTCACTCGTGACCATTTTCGCTATTGGAAATCTGTGGCATTTTGTCCTAATTTGTCAAAAAAAATTGTCTCATTTAATGCCCAGTGGAAATTCGGTATTATACCCGTACATGGTGTCTGTAGTAATAAAAGCGGTGGCGAAAGTGTGCTCGTGGTATATGTAAGTATGTACATTTGTTGGTGAGTGGAGTAAGTAAATAAACTGTGCGCTGCAGTGTACAGGGTGCAAGTGACGGTGTTGCAACATATTTTTGGCAGTGGCTAAAAGGAGTTATTCAGGTTTGTTGTTGTAAACTTGGTG